AGGCAATGAACTTTACTGGTGAAAGCCACCACCGCCTCCCCCCCCCCCCCCCCTTCCCCCCTTGTTCTTTGCTTCGATGCTTGTTTTTTCAATTGCATTTTCTTATGCGTGTAAGGCTGTTAGGGCTCCACGCGGGATTGCAATTTCCCGCTGATTATTTTTGAACAACTGACTCGCTGACTGACCCTAACCCCCCCCCCCCCCCCCCAAAAAAAAAAAAATAAATAAATAGATGAATACAAAATATAAAGAACCGGGCCCATTCCATTCCGGGCAAAAGGCATCTAATTCCATTCCCATTCCATTCCCCTCAACGTTGCCGCCATTCCATTCCCATTCCGTTCCGGGGTCGCGAAAATGCTGAATAATTCCGGAATCATTCCCACTCCGGAGTGGGAACTCCGCGACACTGGTATTGACCTGTCAAAGTTGACCAAAAATCGACCTGAGTGACGTGTTTGACATTTTGTTTAGAAAACAATCTAACTATTAGAGATATTTGAGTACGTGAAGGTATTTTTATAGTACCTATTAAACGAGGAGGAAAAGTTAAAAGGGTGTAGAAAAAACACTAGCGCCAGCAGAGGGTGTCAAACACGCGACCTGCGACGGCAGGCAAAAACACTACTTTCTGCCACTGCGGCATCTACGCTTCGTAACTCGAGAACAAGAAATCTGGGGAACATGCGGTTTGCGCTCTCTTTCATTTGAGAAGTGCCCCTAAAACATATATTTTTACGTGAAAATTAAAAACTGGACCCTTGCAACTTACCCGATATGGGAGGCTTCATCTCGAATCGGGCAGACTAAAAGAGTCATTTTTAATTTTGACGAAAGAAATGTGTGTTTTGGGGGCATTTCTCGAATAAAGGAGGGCGCAAACCGCATGTTCCCCAGATGTTTTTGTTCTTCAGCTACGAAGCGTAGAAGCCGCAGTGGCAGAAACTAGTATTTTTGCCTGACGTCGGAGGACGCGTGTTTGACACCCTCTTCTGGCGCTAGTCTTTTTCCTACACATTTTTAACTGTCCCCCTCATTTAATAAATGCTATAAAGATACCTTGGCGTGTTCAAATATTTCTAATAATTTGATTGTTTTCTAAAAAAATGGTAAACTCGTCACTAGGGTCGAATTGTGGTCAACTTTGACAGATCATTACTTTGTCTGTTCTTAAGGTAAATTTTATTTCTTTAGCTCTATAGAAAGCCCTAAGCATGGCCTAGTATAGATAGAGTAATACCATTATTATCTGCCGAGTAGCCGCTTCGCTACCTCCAAGTAAACGCTGTGAAAATTAACACATGTTCACACATTTCACGGGATTGCGGCTCAAACAGAGGACATACAACCAAAATATTACATTTCTAGACTATTTCTTCTTGTAGTCGACTAATATGTCTAAAAGAACATAAAAAAGAAAAAATTACAAAAATTGTTTTTTTTTAAATCGACCTCAAACTTTCAACATTTGTTATTTCTTACAATGTTTACGTGAAGGTAGCAAAGCGGCTAGCCAACAGATCATAATGATATTACTATATCTATAATGGGCTTGCTTTGGGATTTCTCTAGAGCCAAAGATAGAAAATTTACCTTAAGTACAGACAAAGTAATGACCTGTCAAAGTTGACCAAAAAGCGACCGGAGTGACGAGTTTGACATGTTTTTTTAGAAAACAATCAAATTCCTAAAAATATTTGAATACATCAAGGTATCTTTGCTTGTTTGTTTGTTTATTTTATTTTTGACACAACTGTCAGGGAGGTTGGGACAAAAGGCGAAAACGAATCACCTGACTAGGTCCCCAACCCCCGTTACAGCACTCAGCAGCAGGGCACAGGAAATGAATCAAAACAGCATAAATAAAAAATAAAACAATATCTGAGAAGATAAAAATATGGCACTCAAAAAATGTACAATCTATTTTGATATGAACTATACTAGGAATGCACACTAGGCACATTGAAGTATACCGTAAGGTATTTTTTGAAAAGAAACACGGACGCTATTGTCTGGGCTAATTCGAATACACAATAATTTCTGTTAAGAAGATCGGGTATCTGGTAGGATATTTTTTGTGTACCGTAATTAGTTCTTATTTTAGGTTTTGAAAACTGCTGGTGCCTCAAATTGTAATTTGTTTGCTTGGATAAATATGTTTCGTAATATATTGCGGGATTCGTGTTTATTTGAGTATGAACTGAAATTGCGACCTTTATGCAAAAAAGATTATCTAACGTTAATATTCCATGTTTAATAAAGCTAGGGGAAGTCGATTCAGTCCAAGGTAAATTATCAATTGACCTAACTGCGCGTTTTTGCAATGTAAATAATTGCTTAATATTACTTGCTGTAGTCGTCCCCCAGACCAATAAACAGTAATGCAGCCTCGAGTGAATCAGAGATATATACAGTTGTTTTTTTTAACCAGGCTGGAAGAAGGTATTTTTGATTACAAATTAAACCAATTGATCTAGAAATATCCCTTCGGAGTTCGTTCACCTGACAAGTCCAGTATAGATTTTCGTGAAAACGAACACCAAGAAATTTAAAGGATTCCACGCGTTCAATATTCGAGTTTTGAAAAGATATACTAATTTCGCTAGTTATGGGCTTATTTTTTGCTCTAAAAATAATGTACTTAGTCTTTGCCGTATTCAGCTCTAACTGGCTTGAGCCTAACCATAAATGAAGTTGCTCCAGCCAATTATTTGTTTCTCTTTCTATGCTATCCAAACAGCTACCAGTAAAGAATACATTCGTATCATCTGCATATAAAATTATGTTAGGTGTTTGTGGGATGTTTACTATATCATTGATGTAAAGAAGGAAAAGTAATGGCCCGAGAATCGACCCCTGCGGCACACCGTATCGAATTTTTGCTAAAGGAGAGCGCATATCATTGAGGACGGTATATTGAAAACGTGAGGTCATGTAACTGCTTATCAAGTTTAGCGCACTGCCTCTTATTCCATACAGCGGTAACTTTCGGAGTAGGATGTCGTGTTTTATAGAATCGAAGGCCTTCCTGAAATCTAAAAAAACACCCAGAGTATAGCACTGATTTTCAATATTGTCTATGATTTTGTTTTTGATATTTAGCAGTGCCATTTCAGTTGATTTACCTTTTTGGAAACCATACTGGTTGTTTGTAATAATATTATGTTTATTACAGAAATCACAAAAACGTTTGTAAATAACGCGTTCCGCTACTTTAGAAAAGACTGGAAGTACTGATATTGGTCTATAGTTATTCATATTATTCTTGGGACCACCTTTATGGATCACACAGACTTTCGCTATTTTCATTTTTTCTGGAAAGATACCGGTAGTTAAAATAAGGTTGCAGATATGCGAAAGCGGAGTAGATATGAAAGAGGAAACTGCTTTGATTGGCTTAGAACATAGCCCATCTTCTCCACAGGCACCGCTATTCCCTAAGGATTTAATGATAGTAGTTATTTCTAGTTCAGTGGTAGGTGCCAGAAATACTGAGTTATGTAAAGGGTATCCAACATAAGACTCACATGTAGGCGTTCTCGCTGAGGGCATAGTAGAAGAACCGGATTCTAGAAAGTGGGAATTAAATTTATCTACAAGAGACTGACCCGAGTAAGTAACCCGCTCGATTGTAAGTTCTTTTGGAGCATGTGCACGAGGCCTAGAAGAAAGTTCATTTACGGCTTGCCAGACTTTCCGCGGATTGTTATATATTGCATTAAACTTATTTTTGTAGTATTGAGCTTTAGCTTTCTTGATATCAGCATTGAGTTTGTTCCTCACTTTCCTAAATTCCTGTAAAATTGAGATATCTCTTGTCTTGACGAACTTATCATATAATTTATTGCGCTCTTTTATACGCTTATATAACTGACTTGAGATCCAAGGTTTTTTGGACTTTTTATATTTTTTAAACTCTTTCCATGGAAATGACTCCTCATAACACTTTTGTAGGAGGTCCAAAAATATACCATATGATTTATTTGGTTCCCTTTCAGCTACTACCGACTCCCAGTTTATATTCGATACCTTAGAATGAAACAGCTCAATTGAACTATTATCAATTCTTCTAAATGTCTCAGCCGCATTATTAGAGCTCAATTTTAAATTTACTGGACCGACAATAAAACTAAATATCGGAAAATGGTCACTTAAATCACAAGAAAAGACACCAGCAGCCTCGGTATGACAATTTGTAATACAGAGATCAATTAGCGTTTCTGTTTCCACCGTGATTCTAGTCGGCAAGTTTATTACATTATCAGATACGTAGGACTGAACAATATCAAGTAGTTCAAGGGATCCACTCACGGGCGAGGTCATATCAATATTAAAGTCACCTATTAAGATTATAGAAAGGTTCAGTGAGGCAGCATATTCCATAACGTTCTCAATGAATTCAAAAAACTTCATCAACGACCCGGCGGGGGGTCTATAAGCAGTGACTATTACCAGGGAACGACATTTAGCCACAAGTGCTTCGTAGTCTGAGCATATTTTTGAAAATTCAGGCAATACTTCATAATGTAAGTCATCACGAAAATAAACAGAGACCCCTCCTCCCCTTTTAACACTTCGATATACTCCCTCGCTATTATATCCTATGAACCCGACAACGTCATCCCTGCTCGTAAACCAAGTTTCAGTGAATGCTAGTACATCAAAAGTAAAATTTAAAGAGTTCAGAAACATATCAACATCATCGTGTTTATTGCCAAGACTTCTAGCATTTAAGTGGAAAAATGAAAGCATATCTTTGTTATAGACAAGACATTCTTGAACAAGATGAGTAAACGATATTCGATCGTGATAAGTAGACGTTACGTCCATTAGAAAAGAAAAGAAAAAATACATATCGCAACCCGCCGGCTTTTCACACAATCTTATCGAAGTCTGCCTCGCATTCAATCTTTATTACACGGTCACCCTGCTTTTTTCGTGCGAACAAGTTGCCATTTTTCTGCCAGACAAATTGATACTCTTTTTCTGCAGCCTTTTCTCTCAGCATCCAGAGAAGCTTGTTGTTCGTGGTGGTCAAATTATCAAGAAACCAGACGTCTGATCGGGTTTCTTTTAGGTATTTCCTTTTTCCTAGCCATTGATCTCGGGTCCTTCGTGATGCAAATCGAACCAAAATGGCTGGGTATTTTTTATTTTTTGCTGGGAGTCTGTGCAGACCTTCCACATCATTCTCAGCTAGTTTTGGAAGTTCTAATCTTTCTGCGAGATCATTTAATTTGTTCAGTGGGTTCTCATTTGCGCTTGGTGGCATTCCATGAATCTCAAGGTTCTGGCGTCTGGAGTACTGTTCTAAACTGTTTACTTGTTTTTTCAGCATGCAGATTTCTTCAGTATCTTGGGTTCCCTCAACTTTTTCCACTCGTCTTCTCAAGTTAGTAATTTCTTTTGACTGCTCGTCCATTTTTTTCAGAACCAAATCGTACTGATTTGACATAAGCTGAACTGACTTTTCTATCTGATCGACTGTGTCTTTGATCGACATAAGAGATTCTACTTTTGCGTTCATCGTCATGATTTCACTCAACTTTTTGTTGATAGCAGCTAATTCCTGCCTAAGATGCGGTTCCTGTTCGGGCTTCTGCGTTCCTGGGCTTTGAATGCCTCGGCTCTTCGCGGTAAGGCATGTACGGCATTTCCATGCATTATTTTTGGAGTTTCTATTTTTGCCCTTGGAAGTACTTTCACCGGAACATGTTCCCGCGTGGTACCCATATCCACAGTCCGAACATGTTAAATACTTCGTAACTTCAGGTAGTGGTTCGTTACAGTGTACACAAACCTCCGGAATCAGCACATCCGCGTTCGCCATTCAGCTCACGACTAAACAAGGAAAAGCATTTTCAGCAGCAGCCGCGTCAAGAATACATGTGAGTAGATAGACTTTGCTATCAATCAACACTAACCTGTAAAACGGTGAAGACAAGAATTAGCCTCCGAAAGGAAGCCTTGACGCCGCTGCTGCTGTGTGCGTTTGAAGAGTCTTCGCAGAGCCTTCTTCTTTTAAAGCTGTCTTCCGACGATATCCAAAAAAGCCAGGCCAATCGCAGGCTGGTATCGGCGGCACGGTGATAAGAGCGTCGATGAGCAGCTTAATGGTATCAGCGAGGACAGGCAGTGCAATTGCACCAGCGGCCGTGAACTCTGTAAAACGGTGAAGACAAGAATTAGCCTCCGAAAGGAAGCCTTGACGCCGCTGCTGCTGTGTGCGTTTCAATACCTATTAAATGAGGGGGGACAGTTAAAGGGGTGTAGAGAAAACAATAGCGCCAGCAGAGGGTGTTAAACAGGCGACCTGCGACGGCAGACAAGAAAACTAGTTTCTACCACTGCGGCTACTACGGCTCGTAACTAGAGAACAAAAAATCTAGAAAACATACGGTTCGCGCCCTCCTACATTTGAGAAATACCCCCAAAACATATCTTTCTTTTCTTGAAAATTAAAAATTAGATTCTGTTTGCCTGCCCGATTTGAGATGAAAACACCCATATATATATATATATATATATATTCACATCATACGCATATATTTTACCCGAATATAAAGGTTATCAGTCTGGTGGGTCGCCTAAAACACGCGTGATTCGTACAACTTATCGTCGCAGTATTAAAAGTCGAATACTCCTGTGCTCTTGCACTTAGAAATTGAATACAGTGCATCAAATAATGAAATGGCACGTCCTCGCCATCTATATGCTGAAGTCTAGTTTATGAAATACGTTTCACAATATATATGATGACGAGTCAGCTCGGCTAAAAGCAAAATATTTTCAAAAAGTCAGGAAAGTTTTAGGACAAGCCCTTTCAGTCTACCTTTTATAGAAACACTGAGCGGCAATCACAACGCTTGCTTTCCTGGCCAGTATTCTTTACACTCAGCACCGTGATGCAGCCGAATAATCATGCAGAAAAGAGACCTCTGTGCTCAGATCGGATCTGGCCTAAAATAGCGCGCACCGAAGTGAACATTTTCGACATAGCTTGGCGTTTGAGGTTTGTTCTTCACAAGATGCCGGTCAATTCAATTTGGAAATAAGCATCACTTTTGCTATTCTTTTGTTAAATAGAACAAAGTAGTATTTTATAGTCTACTCGACATTACAGCTACTTAATTGGACTCTTTTTGACGGTCTGCGTGCGCAGTCGTCATAGTTCCACCACGCGCCACTGTGTACTTTGTGTCCATCCAGCCCACAAACACATAAAAGTGTTGTTTATTAAATATTAGAAGCTGCGGACTTCTATATTTTCGAGAAGTTAAATATGCGTCAGGAACACATGTTATTTAACTCATCTTCAAAATAAAAAAAAAACAAGTTCCCTAAATTTCTCTCCAATCACTTATACATACAGGTGCCTCTCGAGGATAAAGCCGGAAAGGATTTGCAGACCATATTTCTGATAATTTGGGAGTGCATTTACTTATAATGTATGTTTTAAGGTTGATCGGCCCTTTACGTTGTCAAGTTCATAGGCAGCGTACTTGGGTTGTAATTCAATTACTGTAATTATATTACTGTAATTTAATTACATTTATTGGCAATTTGTAATTGTAATTAATTACTTTTTGCTAAAAGGAATTGTAATTGTGACTTAATTACTTTCTAGCGTGAGTAATTCCGAAATTTCAGGCACAATTACAATTAATTTTTAAAATCTTTGCGGCACCGAAGGAACCTCTGTGAAAGCACTAGCGCTCGCACAAGCGGCCTAGCTCTCGGTAAAACACTTACACGCAGACACAAACGCACACACACGCACAAGATAAATAGTGTCGCATTGTTTGTTGTTTTGTTGCTTACACTGCGGGCTTAGAGACAATCCTCTTTGGAGCCTATCCGAACGGCGCCGTGTAGTGCCATCAGCGGTGCGAAAAGAAAGTAACAACGTAAACATGCTAAAATGTTGAAAGAAAGAAATTGACCTTCAGCTCTGAGCCGAGGTTGGTAATTTTCATTGTCTTGAAGTTATTTTTTTTCTTCCTTGACAGTTTTTTTACGTCTCTCTTCCAGTACCGTTGCATATGCGTATCTTTGTATTGTTCTCAAGATTATTTCGTGTTGATTTTATTTCGGATATCATTTGCATAAGCACTTTGAAGACTGACCTCGCATTTGAAAATCTTGACACCGATGATTCGGGAGCCCCGATTTGGTTCTTATATATTTCTGAGCCACTATAATTCAACTGAATGTAAATAATTTACAATACCATGATATTTGTATGTGAATCTGGTTGTATTAGCGCATGTGAACTTTACTTTTATATTAATATGTGTAAAACATTCATATATGTCTGATTGTCACATTTTTATTTGCCTGGCTAACAAACGTCTGTCAACCCAATGCTCTTTCTTTAGCGATCTGGCGTCTTCCAGCATGTGAACTAATTTATTATTATTTATTAAAATATAAGAACGTAGTACTTAATTCCCCCATACTGTCAAGTTCCTATCATGAGTATAACAAAATTCATATAAAGAATGTACAATACGTGAATATTGGCGTAAGAAATGATCAAATGCTTTGCATTCTATACAATTCGTTTCAAACCTTATGGCCCAAGTCACGTCACACTCAGAAAAAAGTAATTGTAAAGTAATTGAATCACCTTTTAAAAGTAATTTGTAATTGTAATTAATTACTTTTCATGCGGTAGTAATTGTAATTAAACTACTTTTGAAGCAAAGTAATCGTAATTGTAATTAAAGTACATTTTCAAAGTAATTTACCCATGTATGGCAGACAGTAATAAAATATTTGTTATAGTCATCAATAAATTTGACTGTATGAAATTCACCTAACCGTTTGAGATCGACACGGGAGGCCGATACTCGAAAATAAGCCATCTTTTGAGTCCGCGGAACGTGTTTCTATGTTCGCTGTTTGCCAGTGTGAAACACCGGGTTGCGGGGTATGCCAAAAAAAAAAACTGTGTGCTCGGCTCATAGATCTAAAGGCAAATACACGAAATGTGCAGAAAGAGAGATATTAAATTATATTCTTCTAAATAATACCATACAGGACGACTTACTGCAAAAAGAAATATGTAGAGATGCATGTTTTAAACGTAAACATGTTTTGCGGAACTCCGTCTGGTTCGGTCAAAAATTTGAGAGATACAGACCTTCACAAACCAAAACCTAAACATTTAGTGGCCCAAAGTTTTAGTAGGCCGGCAGCCCTTTAATCATCGGCATGTGTCAACAGACTACGGCACTTGAAGAAGAAAAAGTGAGTGAAGAAACAATGCATCGTAGATATAGAAAAAGTTCGCCCCCGATAAAAACAAAACAAAAAACAAATCGGTTTTCAAACGTCGGACTCCTTAGTGTTCGGGACTTGGTTGGTTATGGTCCGCATTGCTTTACTAAAATGCGTGAAATGATGTTCCTAATTACACAAAACTATTGCGAAAGACAAACAATATATTTCTAATTTAGATCACATTCAGACATCGGATTGCACGAGCTCGAAACTTCGCAGAATACTGTCTTGGGAGGCTAAAGTTACAACTGTTATTACGTTCACTTGTTTCGGGGCCTAATTTTACAACTCTGTGCTTTACCAGTCATGCCCGTTTTAATATTTGATTGGACTGCCGCACATCATCGCGAGACTGCTACATATACTGCACAACTTTACAATTGGCACATCCCCTTTTGCTATATTTGTGTATTTAATCTTTACATAATATATACATTACAGCATACAGCGGGCACAACCGACCGGGTTGGGGCCAGAGCAGTCGAACGCCTCGTGCCTGCGCGCGTGCACCAGTTCACCGGCATCCCTGGATATCCTCGGTTGCCAACACACAACATCCCTCCCCCCTAGGTCACATAGTCCTTTAGGTAGTCGGGACGTCGCCGTTGTCGCTGGGGACGATTTGACTGTTCTTGCGCAGGCGCTGAAGTTGGCAACACTGTTTGGTGCCTCGGTTCATGGGGTGAAGCAGGTGAACGTTGTGGGGAAGCTGGAGGTGTTGCCACTGGGGTTGACTCCTCAGGGAAGTCCGCTTGACTCGTAGATGGTGGGCACTCTTCCACCGATTCATTCCTAAGCGATGGCTCGCTTGGTAAGGAGAGCTGCTGAGGTGACAGCTCTGTCGTAGGCTCCTCCTCGTCCAGGTATGTGCTCCACTCCCGTCTCCGGATTTGGTCCACGTGCCGCTTCCAGAAACGACCGTCGATGGTGCGAACCTTGTAAGACACCGGACAGGTGATCTCAGTGATGATACCGGGTAGCCACTTGGGGCCTGCTAAATAATTGCGGATGAAGACTGGTTCTCGCGGCTCGAATTCGCGTACACCTTGTCTTCCCCGCAGCGCTTGTTCCTCTTGCTTGTCCACCATCTCTGCTTGTAGGTCTGGGTGAAGCCGGTCCAGTGCAGTACGGAGTCTCCGACCCATCAACAATTCCGCCGGACTCTTTCCGGTCGTTGAGTGCGGGAGAATATGCTGACTCAAAAGAAATCGGGCCAACTTGGTGGCTATGTCGCCTCCTTCCATGCGCCTGAGGACTTGTTTAGTTTCTTGGACCATGCGCTCCACTTGGCCATTTGACGATGGATGATATGGCGCCACCTTAACGTGCCGGATCTGGTTTCTCTCCAAAAATTCTTCAAATTCTTGTGAGACGAACGCTGTCCCATTGTCCGAGACTATAGTGTCGGGAACACCGTGTGTTGCGAACAGCACTCGCAGCCTTTGACACACTGCTGCTGACGACATGGATGCTATCTGGATGACTTCCAGCCATTTCGAATGCGCATCCACCACCAGAAGAAAAACCTTTCCTT